AGGCAGGTGTGTTGGGGGTGGACAGCGGTGGGGACCTCTGGCCGAAATCTGGGGGGCCTGCAGTGGGACTGAAATGTGATGGGTGTCCGGCTGCTTGTGCCTGGGGACTCTTTAGGGCAAGGAACCAAACCTGATTTCACCTAGAAGGGGCACATACTGAGCTGCCTCTGTGCAGACCTGAGCATGTCCCCTTTGCCCCTAGCTCTGAAGTGACCCCAGAACGCCTTAAGCTTTGAGTGTGAGAGGGCTGGCAAGTGTTTCAGACAGCATGTGGCCATCTGCCTGCACTGGGGAGGTTCAAGAGCCTTTGTGGTGGGAGCTGTTTGGGTGCTGATGCTGCAAGAGGAGATGTGAGGGGCTTGAGGGTGACATCTGCCCCTGGTCAGCCGAGGCTTCACCCACACTAAGGCTCCCCTTAGGGCTTCCGCTTCTGTGCAGGACTGTTATAAGTGAATCTGGCATCCCCTTGAGCTGCTTTACTCTTGCTGGAAGTGAAAGGCAGGAGGAAATCCCCGTTACCACTCCATCTTACAGGTCACATGAGCAAAGCTTCATTTCTCCCTGCTTCTGTTCCTGCTTATTGCTTTGGGAATAACTCTTCTTGTCCTGCTCTTAGCCTTGCCGACATTCCTTCCCCTACCATGTATAAAATAGGGTTACACTGCCTTGTCACAGAGGCAAAGCTGATTTCTCACCCGCTTGGGGAGATTTGCAGGGCTGGCTCCTGGTACAGAAGGATGTTACCTGGATACTACCCCTTGCTTTGGGAAGAGCTGGGTGCATGGTGCTTTCAAAAATGGACCATTTCATCCTGGTGTTTTAAGGGGAGCTTCAAGCTTATGCAGATGTTGAGATGGCTTTTCCTTGCCTCTGAATATTTTAGAAAAGATGCTGGATTTCCATCAGGCTCCCAAAATCAGAGAGTAGGTGGCAACACGCTTCATAGAGGTCTTCGAGAGGGGGTGAAAAGCCACTGATCAAATGCCCTGTGACTTATCTCATTGCTTGCAGGCCACTAAAGCTGTTTGGGACTTCACCTCCCCTCCCACCCCAAACGTGGAGAGGACCTCGCTGGCACGCTTGTGATGGAGCCCTGGCCCCCTGCCTGGCCTTCCCAGCCCTGGGAGAGGCAGGCAGCCCAGGGACCATGGGGAGAGGTACCTCGTGGCCTCCCACCCCAGCCCAGGTGGCAGCTCCTCCGCACGAGGCCACCACCTCCTCGGCCTGGCTCCTGGCATGGGAGCCACTTCCCTGGCCATCACCCCTGGGATGAGGGCCACCACCCCCAGAGGGATGCCTGCAGACCAGCTTCCCGGGCTGAGTACTATGAAAGCAGCTACCCCAACAGGCCATATTCCAGGTGAGAGCTGCCCAGCTTTGGGATGCTTGCACTGAGCCCCTTCCTTGTAAACCTTCTTAAAATAAGGTTTGACCGCAGGGCCAAAGAGTTGTGGTGAATGGTGTAAAATCCAGTCACAAGTGGTGTCCCCAGGGCTCAGTATTTGGGACAGTTCTGTTTAATCTCTTTATCGGTGATCTGGATGAGGGGATTCAGGCACCCTCAGTAAGTTTGCAGATGACACCATGTTGAGTGGGAGTGCTGATATGCTTGAGGGTAGGGAGGATCTACAATTGGGTCTGGACAGACTGAATCTATGAACCAAGGCAAATGGGATAAGGTTCAACAAGGCCAAGTGCTGGGTCCTGTATTTGGTACACAAGAACCCCCTGCAGTGCTCCAGGCTTGGGGAAGAGTGGCTGGAAACTGCCCAGTGGAAAAGGACCTGGGGGAGTTGGTTTGCAGGTGCCTGAATATGAGCCAACGTGTGCTCAGATGGCCAAGAAGGCCAAAAGCATCCTGGCTTGTATCAGCAATGGTGTGGCCAGCAGGACCATGACAGTGATCATCCCCCTGCCCTTGGCACTGGTGAGGCTGAGCCTCAAATACCAAGTTCAGTTTTGGGCCCCCTGCTACAAGACAGACAGTGAGGTGTTGGAGCGTTTCGAAAAGGCAACAAAGCTGGTGAGGGGTCTAGAGCACAAATCTAATGAGGAGTGGCTGAGGGAACCGGGGTTGTTTAGCCTGAAGAAAAGGAGGCTCAGGGGAGACCTCACTCTCTACAACTCTCTGAAAAGCAGTTGTAACATGGCAGGGGTCATTCTCTTCTCCCAAGGAACAAGTGCTAGGACAAGAAGATTTTGCCTCAAGTTGCACCAGGAGTGGTTTACATTGGACACTAGGAAAAATTTGTTTCTCAGAGGAGTTGTCAAGTCCTGGCCCAGGCTGCCCAGTGCAGTGGTGGAGTGCTCATCCCTAGAGGGGCTGAAAAGCCGTGTAGATGTGGTGCTGAGGGACATGGTTTAGTGGTGCCCTGGCAGTGCTGGGTTAATGGCTGGGCTCAATGATCCTTAAGGTCTCTGCCAGCAAAAACGATTCTGTGACTCACCACTCTCATGGATGCTGCCCTTGTCATGGCATGGGCAAAGTGGTGAGCAGTCACCCACTGCAGGCTCAGAGAGGCAGTGTGTGATTAGGTGATGTCCAGCTATTAAAGCAGCCAGTGACTTCTACCTTGAAGGCTGTGTGGCAGCTGCAGCTCCGATTTCTTACAGCTGTGACTCCTGCAGTTGCTGTTTTACAGGCTTCATTTTGGTCCCAAGGTTCATTTGTCTTGATGGTTTGGTTAAATGCAGTTCTTTTTTACTTAAGTGCAAGGTGAAAAACAACGGTACAACCAGAACTATAGGAGCAAAAGGGAGCTTGCAAGCTCAGATGCTGAAAGAGTAGAGAGTGGAAGGATAAAATGTGGGCTAGAGGATGCTCTCAGTGCTGAAAGCTTCAAGCACTCCGGGAATTTTTGTTTGGTTTGCCCTTGGTGAGTTATGGTGTGGAAATGAAGGGGTTTGTGCTGAGGTGGTATGGTGCTTGCAGCAGGAAAGGGGGTGTTGTGTGGGGCTGACCAAATTGCTACCTGTAGTGTGAAGGGTGAAGGTACGTGAGTGCTGGGTGGGTAGGTGGCTTGGCCTCGGGCTGAGCTCTGGAGCAGGGAGGGATCTGCTGAGCTGTGCCATGGATATGGCAGCTCCAGAACTTAGTGGAGAAAGTGCTTTTGGGGGACCTCTCCTAAAATTTGGGTAAAAGTTGATCCCCGTGACAAGTCCACACCATCAAGTTGAAATTGGACATAACCTGAAACTGCAGTGCACAGCTTATTCATAGATGGGGATGGGACAGTATCCAAGCCTCCTGCTGCTCCTTCCAGCTGTGGTTCTGGACCAAGTTCTGGTCCTGCTGCTGAACAGGGCACCAGGGCAGGGGACCTGGCTTTATTTCCATCACACTTTCTTCCTCCAAATGTTGCATTCAGGTCTTGAGTCTAACCCTAGATGTGATCCAGAACCTGCAGCAGTGCCCTTTTTTTCCTCAGATCAAGTATGTTGTGTTGCCTTTCAGGCAAGGATATGAAGACCACCACCAGCAATATCCAACAGCCAGCTATGGGGATGACTACACCTACAAAAGCCACCACTGGCAGCCAGGGTCCAGGCAGGATGACAGAGGTACAGGCTTATCTTTTGGGTCTGAAGATGGAGGCCCACTGCTTGCAGGAGCAGAGGCAATGCTTTCTCCAGGATGAATTCTTCTCCAAGGGCTTGTGCAACTCCAGGGCTTTTTCCTGTCCATGCTGCTGGGCCACCAGTGTTTTCTCCTCATGCAACGCTGCCCTCAGTTTGCATTTGGGAAACGAGTAGGAACTAGGTGCATCCAAGGGAATGTTTTATTTTGATCTCTGTGACTAAAAACCTGTCATTCCCAGTTCCAGGCTGAACTCAACACTGATGGTGCTGTGTGATCAAAGTGGCTGGGGCCTCATTTTTGCTGTTTCTGGAGTTCCTAGTCTGAAGAAAAGGGGAGGGAGGGAAAAGGAAAGGGCATTGGTGTTGTTGACAAAGTTGCAGAGGGCTTTGTCATACCTCCAACTTGTTGGGCTAATTCAGAAGCAAATGGGGTGTGCCTGACAAATTGCCTGACTCATGGCTTTTCTTCTGCAACTTCATTATGGCTTGTTGCTCTGGGGGGGCAATGCTAAATCTTGATTCTCTCCCTAGACCTGAGACAGGGAGAGCCTTATGGCAAGAGTACCAGTTACCAGGACCAGCACTACTACAGGGGTTACCATCCCAACCTGACCACGAACCCACCAGGGCAGAACAGGTAAGGATGGGGGTCTGGGCATCACCTGGTGCAACCATCTGCTGCAAAATTAGCAGGTTTGTGACTGGTGCCAAAAATCTCTGAGCTTCAGGGCAACCCTTTTTGCCACTTTCTGCAGGACACAGAGCTATGACTCGCACAAGGAGGCACACGGCTCAGCTGCCCAGCCTGGGTGGGCAGGGGGAGAAACCCTCGGCAGTGATTCGGGGGAGGCCAGTGGCCAGCCCCAAGAGGTAACCTCATGATGGGCAGATGTGGAAGGCAAAAGGCTTGGGGATCTCCCAGAGATTTCTGGGAGCAATCCTTGTCCCTACTTCAGCTGGGAAGGAGGCTGGGGAGAAAGGGCTGCTTTACTATGTTGCAGTGTGGGCTAAACAACCTCTGGGGCTACTATAATGGGTTATTAGTATTTATGGACTCTCCATCTGCTGGGCGGCTGTTCCCTTGGCCATGGGGCTGTACAGAGCTCTAGGACAGAATCCAGGCTTAGTGGGATGCTCTCCTGTACCCACCCTAGGTAGCTGATGAAAGCTGTCTCATTGTCAGCTTTGTCTACCAATGTCTGCTCTGTCACACATCCTGATCACTGTGTTTTCCCAAAGAGCAAATTAAAAGATCAAATCAAAGCTGCTCGGTTATTATTGCTCCTGGGCAGAGTTTTTTGTTTTGTTTTGTTTTTTTTTTTCATTTCTAAGCACAATCTGCTGCCTGCTTTGAGAAGTCCATGTTAGGGCTAGGAAAGCTGCTTAGTTAGACTGATGGCTGATGGAAATTATTTTAAAAGCCGTTGGGTGTGAGCAGGATATGTGCTGTGATGAACCTAAGATGCTGAAGAGTGAGCTGCTCAGATGGGAATGAGCTATGCTATGCTGTTCCTGCTGGGCACCTCTATGGAGCAGCTGAGCCTGTTCCACTGCCCTGGGAGCAGAAAAGCAGCAGTGTCCCGAGTTTCTTGGCCAGGTTTGTGTTTTGTTTCAGCTCTCAGGCCAGCCCAGCCTGCTCATGCAGTACCGTGAGTCGGGGCTCAGCTCCAGCAGCTACGAGCTCAGCCAGTACATGCGTGATGACCACTATGACCCTGCAGTTTTGGGAACCTGGAGCCCAGCACAAGTAGGTGAGGTGTGATGGGGCTCTGGTCTTCGCTGATGAGGTGGGGTGCAGAGAAATAAATGGCTGGCATTAGAAGATTTGCTGTCTTGCTGCTTAGTCCTTTCCTGGAGGATGTTGGCTGTGCAGGTGTAAGGCATGACCCAGGGGCTGTGGGGTGGGTGTCTGGTGGTTCTGTCCTGATGGATGCAGGAGCTGCCTTGGGTTTGCATTCTGCTTTTGGGGGACATTTCTTGAGTATGGAGGTCAGTGGAGGGTTACTTAAGTTGGGAGCCAGGTTAGAAGCTGTTTTTTTCCTCTGTAGTAGAGGTGGTGTCAGGTCAGGGTGAGGGTAGTCATGCTGGCTTGTGTGTCATTGCAGGGGAGTCTTCAGTGTCCACCCCAGCCTTGGTGGTACCCCACAAGTTCTCGGTGCCACATGTGGCAGTCTGCTTTGGAGCTGGAGGCCAGCTGGTGCTGGTGTGTCCCTACCATCCTGCTGAGGGGCAGCTAGCCCAGGTCGAGCTGCACAGCCTGGAGGTACCCACAGCCTGGCTCCCCAGACCACCCTTGGTTCCCGTGCTGGTGTGGTTCCTTTTACCCTGAGGGATGCAAACACTGTTCAGCACCCAAACAGCATCTTGAACATTCCTGTCCCCAGCTGACATCTTCTGTCCAGCCCACATGGACTCTCGAGTCTACATTGTGCACAGTGTTTTAGTCTCCTACGTTGTCTCCCAAAGGAGGCAGTTGCCATCCCAACAGGTGTTTCTTTCCTGGACCTTAGCATTGTGATCCACGTGATGGTGTAGGATCTGTGCTCTGGGGTTACCTTAAGACAGCACAAAGAATGGGTTCACCAGCACTCTTGAACCCTTGGCCAAGGCAATGACTTTCAGATAGCCCAGCTGGGGCTGGCCTGATTGCTGGAGCCCAGCTGCTGAACTGGATCTTATTTTTTAGGTAATTCTTCATGACACAAAAGAGCTGGAGGAGCTACAGACCTTCCCAGGGCCCCTGGCCAGGTATGTGGCACCAGCAGGTCCAGAAGCTGTGTCCTCCTGGCTGCACTGGCCTGGGAGCACTTTTCCTTTGGGAGACATGAGCTCAAGACAGACTTTAGGGCCCCCATGGTCTTGAGATATCTGTGAAGGCCAAGTCTAGGTTCACATTGGAAGCCCGGCCCCTTTGTTGTGGTTTAGGTTGGCTTGGATGGTGGAAAATGATTGGTTTTTTTGAGGATATAGGGTGTGGCTTTAGTGCCGTTTGTATGTCTGACTGTTTTGTACTCATGTCCCAGAAAACTGACATTTTTGCCTAGATCTCTGGGAAAGTCTGAAGCCCTGGTTCAACCTGCAGTTTTTAAAACTTTTTTTTCCTAAAGTTTTTGTCCCCTGAGACCACTGAGCATGGCCGGGGCAGACCCAGTACACACCTTTATGCAGTGTGAGCATGGGGATGAGAGCTGGTGTACTGCCTCAGGCTGGTTCTGTGCCACACTGGTCACACCAGTGAGCCTTCTGGTCACTTGTAACCAAGCAGGCAGAGAAGAGGGGTGTGCAGCAGTAGAACTCTTTACTGAGCAAAGAGCTGCGTGCCCCTGGAAGCTGGGTAGAAGACCTGGAGGTCGCTTGTGCCGAAGGGGATTCTGGGAATATCTGTGTGATATGTTGGTGCGATCCAGTTAGGATCAGCATCTTTCTCCCTGGTCCCTCTTTGGCTGATCTTGTCTCTCAGCTGCCTTTTCTTTCCAACTGTCTGATTTCTGTTGTTGTAAGCCAGCAGTTCTGCCTGGTTTGCACAGAGCTTAAAGGCTTCTGCTGCTGTTCCAGGCCCAAAGGGTTTATGTGGTCACAAGCATGTCTTTCTCCCTGCACTGTCAGTTAGTCAAAGACACTGCTTCTGTGTGTCTGCTTCTACAGCCTCGGATGTCCATGGCTGTAACAGCAGCACAGCTAAGCAAAACAGGGATGCTTTGCAGGTGAAAATATGATCAGGAGGGCAGAGAGAGAGAGTTTGAGATGCCCTCTGCATGCCTCAAACCCAGAAATCTGCAAGGAGTCATAATAATGATAAAATTTAAGTGCTTTTGAGCTTGGTGTCACCAAGGCGGTATGTGCTTAGTAACACTGGGGATCTTCTCTGCCTCTCACTTTGCATCTTTGGCATCGCCATCACTGGACCTGGGGACACTTGAATGATGTCCTGGATTGCTTTGGGTTTCTTTAGATGCCTTTCTTTGCTGCTGTAGGGAAGATCTGCACAAGGTGGACGTGATGACATTTTGCCAGCAGAAGACAGCCACAAGCTGTGATCTCTCTACACAGAGAGGTAGAGATTCAGCTCTTCTCTGGAAACTCCTGGTCCTTCTCTGCCGGCAGAATGGGGTAGGTGTCCCATGGAAAGGGGCTGATCCTTTTGATCTTAGCAGTGAGACCAGTTATATGCACTTCATGTGTCTCTTGATCCAGTTGCTATTTTCAGGGTGGTGTACCTTAAAAGCATCACATTCCCACAGTACCACCAATCAGTTTGGTACTGCCTGGACATGTGGAGCAAGCCCTTCTCCTGGACTGCTTTTCATCCTTGTGAACTACCAACAACCCAATGCTATAGCAGCTCTGAATGGGACTATTTCACCTTCATTGAGGAGCCAGCATTTGTGCTTAAAAGAGGATTATTCACTTTACCCAACAAAATCCACTCCACGTAATCTGTGGCTTCTTGTTGGAAGCAGATGAGTAAGATCTTCAGAGCAAGTGCTATGAAGGTCTTGCTAGCCGTGCTGAATCCTTTGCCCTCCAAAACTGCATGCTGCTGACCAAGGCTGGTCTTGTTGGGGAGATGTGCTAGGAGAAGGATAGTGTAAGGGTGTTTGACCTTCACCCTTCACAGGGTCTTGCTCTTTGCCTTCACTTTCATAGTCCATGGTGGGCTCGGACACAGCTGAGCTGCTGATGCAAGACTGCAGGTTCCAGAAGTACAAGAGGCAAGACCCTGCAGCAAACCTGATTGGCCTGACAGATGATGAGTTGATGTCATCTCAGCCAGGCGCCCGGGACCTCATTACAGGGGAAGTCCCTCCCATTGTGGAGACGCAGGCACAGATAGTGGAGAAGTTCACCAAACTCCTCTATTATGGCAGGAAAAAGGTAAGTGGTGAGTGGGATCCAGGAACAGGGCTGAGTTTTTTTCTTAGCCCCTTTGGCCTCTTCATGTTTTAAAAGGAATGGTGGGCAAGAGATGCCTTGTGGCTGTGGCATCAACCCTTCAAGCTGTTTATACAACAGAGCTTATGGCAGTGAATTCCCACCACTGGGAACTGGTATGGGGCCCTGATGCAGAGGCCTTTACCAGCACCATGGGTTGAGTTGCAGCTATGTGATCTCAAGCAATAGCAAAGGCACGGTGAGAGAGAGGAAGGTTGGATGCAGAGAAGCTTTGGTGCGGTGCCCAGGCTAGGATCCCATAGTGGTGGCACTGAGAGCTAATGGGCAGCGCAGACCTGGAAATCCAGGAAATACAATATTGCTATAAAGGTCCCAGTTTTTGTCATCGTGCAATGTGGAGAGATAAAGGGGCCTTTGTGAACATGGAAGAGTTTTTTGGAGGGTATTAGTTAAAGCCAGTGCAGTCAATAGAGCTTGTCTCCAAGCTGGCTGAGCAGAAGGTCCCCTGGCAGTGGAGGAGGGCAAGGAAAAATGGTTAGTGCAAACCCATTTTCTTCTCCACCTTGGCTGCAGGATGCTCTGGTCTGGGCCATGAGAAACCATCTGTGGGGCCATGCTCTCTTCCTCTCCAGCAAGATGGACGCTCGGACCTACAGCTGGGTGCTCACTGGGTAAGTTGTAGAAGCTAAAGCCAAGGTATGATGCTCTTGTGACTGGCTTTGCCAAGCCTGTTATCTCTTTGGGTGCCCTTAACCCCAGTGCATGGAAAAAAAAAAAAGCATTGATTTCAGCTCAAGCATTTCAGAGGGGTAAAGGGGGAGAGAGGGGGCATCCATCTGGATGGGTCTGCATCCTTTGAACTTCCTAGTGGACAGGAGAAACCAAGTAGGGGCTGGTAAGCAGAAGGAAAGCCATTCTCTAGAGACACGGGGAGGATTTATTCTGAGTCTTTGGCTTTGCCCCTGCTGCCATAGTGAAGGCAGCCATCAGGGTAGAGGGAGCTTGAGCCATCTTCACTGTGATCCAGGCTGGTCTGAGCTGTTCATCCCACTTGTATGAATGTTTTCTGGTGGAATTAATGTACTTAGTCTGGATTGGCTTGATTCCTTCAGGGAGTGTTAAGCAGAAATTTTCTGTCTTGTGCAACCCAAATCCTTTTAAGGAGGTTTTATCCAGCATTGTCCTGGAGACTTGCCTGCTCCGGAGGTAAAGTAGATTGTCAGTCTGATGGGCTGATGATCCTTTCTGTCTTCTCCAGGAAGCACATCAGGACACTGCTTTCCTGAGGCATTTGGGACATGCCTTTGGATATGAAAGAGGGTCTGGAGTCCTATCTCTGCTTGTCTCCTCACAGGTTCACCAGCACACTGGCCACCAATGATCCCTTGCAAACCCTCTTCCAGCTCATGTCGGGAAGGATCCCTCAGGCAGCACTGGTCCGTGAGCAAGAGTCTGGCCCTGGCACTTGTACCCCTGTGCTGTTGCTTGCCTGTGATACCTTGTGGTGACCATCTCTGATCGCCTTTCCTCTCCTCTCGTCTCTCTCCAGTGTTGTGGGGATGCCACATGGGGAGACTGGAGGCCTCACTTGGCTGTGATGTTGTCCAACAAGGCTGGAGACATGGAGCTGAACCAGCGAGCCATCGTCACCATGGGAGACACTTTGGGTGAGCTGAGGCTTTTGTGAGCAGTTATGATCCTCCTGCCTTGTAACAGAGGGAGGACACCTGCAGTGTCACTGTGCATGTCCCCACTGGCGGGGATGTACATTGCTGCCAAGATGGGGTGTGCATGCTTGTACCCCTGGTGCTACAGCGCCTGGGTGGTGGCAAGGATGAGGTGTTGATGGCTCCCACTGCCCTTTGTGCTGGCAGATGAATCAGGCTCAGGCACACTCATTAGCTGCTCTGCTGGAGGCATCTGGAGTGGCTGGACCCAGGGAGGGCATATAGAACTGCAGGGACAAAGACTTGCTCCTGGTGGTGGGAAATCTCAGGGATTTCATGCCAACAACAGCACCCTGAAGAGTTGAAGGTCCCTGCTCGTGCTGTCCTGGTCCTACCACTGAACTGAACCCCCCTCCTACGTACAGAAAGCAGCAGTCAGGGAAAGCAGACATAAAATGGGGAGAAGGGAGAGATCAGGGGCTGTACAGCCAGGGAAGATGAATGAGGCTGTTGGATTTGCGTTTACATGTGAGTTTGGGGCCTCCAAATCAATTCTCACCACATGGTGACCTCTTTCTCAGGACTGTTTGTCTTTTTTCCTCCCACCCAGCTGGCAGGGGAGCAGTTGAAGCAGCTCATTTCTGCTACCTGATGGCGGATATTCCTTTTGGCTACTTTGGGTCGAAGGCGGACCGCATGGCTCTGCTGGGCAGCAGCCACCGGTGAGCAAGCCCAGCAGACAGGGCTCTTGTCAGCGTGGTGTGGTGCACCTTCTGCCCATCCCTGGGATCTCACTTCTATGCAAAAGCAATCCCTGGTTGTGGGGGTTTACTGCTTTGAACGTGAGCTGTGCTCTGAGCCTGTCCAGCTGCAGGCTGGCATGGTGGTGCAGCTGTGAATCTGTGTGTGGGGTTGTCTGGGGAGAGCTCTGCTCCTGCTTGCTGAACCTCTATTCCTCTCCTCTGCAGTCAGGCGTTTGCCCAGTTTGCCAGGACAGAGGCCATCCAGCGAATGGAAATCTTTGAGTACTGCCAGCAGCTACGACAGCCCAAATCCTTTGTGCTCCCTTTCCAGGTAGCAGAGATGCACAAACACATCTGGTGCAGCAGCTCAGACCTGTCCCAAAACATGCCTCCATCCCTTGAAGCTGGGGATTCAGGCTACTTGCCAAGGCTTGTCCCTCCCTTGGGCTTTGGGAGTGATGGGGAAGCTGCCCTGGCTGAGGGGCTCCTCCAAGGCAAGGCTTTGGGCAGATTTTGAGGCATGGTGTGTTTGATCAGGGCTTGCTCAGGTCTGGTTGTCTCCACGCTCTCTGACTATTGGATAGGCTTTTCATCCTGCAAATAAGCATCCTGCTGCTGTTGCCTCGGGCACTGCACAAATGGGGTGGATAAATGAAGGTGGTGGGCTGGCCTGCTCCCAACATCACCCCTCTACTGGCTCTGGGCCAGCCTGGCCTTGCAACAGGGCTGTGGTTTGGGGAATGAGTCTGGGCAGCCCCATGGGGATGGATGGTGGTGAGCTCTGGGTGATGAGACCTATGATCCAGGGTGCTCTGAGTCACACTGGGATGATGTGCCATGGCAGAGTGGACCCAGGGGCATAAGCAGCTCACCTGTCTGCTCTGCTTCCTTCTCCTGAGGTGTACAAGCTCCTCTATGCCTCTCGCTTGGCCGACCACGGGCTCCCAGCCCAGGCCCTGCAATACTGTGAGCAGATTGCCACCGTGCTCCTGGGCCAGGATCTGGCCAGCCACCCTGTCCTGGCCCAGCAAGTGATGAAGGTGAGTCTCGTACAGCCCTGCATCCTCGGCAGGGTGCAGTACCCATCTGTGACCTGGCGTGGTGGGAAGCAGCCTCTGGGTTTTGCAAGGCTGGGGATGCTTGGCTGCTCTGAGCAGCCCCCCGGGATTTCCTGACTACAGCAGAGCCACCACCTCCATGGGGTCAATAATACCCACGGATTTAGGGTAGAAAAAGGAATTGCATTGACTGCCAAGTAGGCGTAGAGTTATTTGGAAGCAAAGGGTATTTTTTATTCTGGAGAAGCTTTTTGAATTCCTAAATGGCAGAGACTTGAGAAGCTGAAGTTAGAGTCCGTGACATTTCCCCTCCAGCACATCATCCCATGATTCCATTTTCCTGCCAGGGGCTCTTTTGGGGTGACAGTGAACAGGAGTGTGTTCCAGCCCTGTAGCTCTGAGCCCAGCTTCTGTGCTTCATCAGCTGGATTGGGCAGGGAGGGGTGAAGCCAAGTGTCCCCCCTAGGCCACCTGGGCAGGTTGTGCTTTCGGGAGAGTGTATCCATACACATCACTAGGGTTGTGCTGAGGCTGCTTGAAGCCTTCCTCCACCAGGAACAGGGAAAAAGCTGTGGTGCTGTGGGATTAGGAATAGCAAGGACGCCTTTCTAAAGTGGATGCTGCTGAAATCACCCAAAAATTAGCTTATGCACACTCAGCCCCCCCTTGTTGAAGCCTATTTACTGTCTAACAGCCTTTCAGATCTGCTGTTCTGCTGGGGATAATGCTTCTCCTGGGAGAAAACACTTTCATCTGAAAAACTAGTGCATTCATAGACACTCTTGTCTTTGATGTTTTAGACTGTGTTACAAATTATGATACACATTAGTGTTTGATTAAGACTTCCCCTCTTTTGAAGCTGGGGAGATACACAACCAGGTGCTGGTTCATTAATATTGGATCAAAGTGCACATTAGCTTTTGGATTAAACATTCCCCCCATTTAGGAGTAATCATGCTTATAATTTCCTCTTTCCTGCCATTGATTTAGGATGAACACATGTGTGTTGGCAATGAGATGGGACAGTGGGTCTGTAGGTAGTATGGATACTGCCTGAGTGCTGGGATGCTCTACTTTCCATGGCCAGTCCCTGTCCCAAGCTGAGCTCCAGTTGCTTGGGAGGTGTCTTCCTGTAACCTGGAGCTGGGAAGTGTTTTGTGCTGATTTAAACTTTGTTTCTAAAAGCTTTGGGAGTAGGAAGAAATGGCTGATGGGGATTAGTGTGGGACTGCTGAGACCTGTGTTGACTGTGGAGTGTGGCTGAGCTCCAAAGTCACCCCAGATGGCTTTTGGTGGCTTTTGTTGTAGGAGCCTCGTAGCAAAGCATAGAAGATAAATGAGCGTGAGGGAGCTTGATAAATCCCCAAGAAGTGGGTCAATACCATTGAGAGAAAATTCAGTAAAGTCTTGGATGAAGAATGGTGCTTTGAGTGTCATCTCCCTTCATCCAGCTGTCTTAAAAGTGGAGGCTTGCCTAAGCAGTTTCTCCTGCCTGGGATTTAGCTCTTGCAGGGAACCCTCCATCTCACCCTGGGCTGGTGGGATAAGTCTCCCCAGAAGAGGCTCTTGCTCAGTGGACAGTAGCTGGAGCCCCATGTCATGGGGATAGTTGCAGCCAGGGTGGAGAAATTAAGCACGCAGCAGCAATACTGCAGAGAGGGACCTGGGGGAGATAGTGGAGCATGGAATAACTACTGAGCAGCAACATAACAGGATGCTGTTGGGGAAAAAAAAAAAAAAAAAAAAAAAAGGTGCCAATGTTATAACGTTATTCTGGGCTGTGAGAGCAAGAACAGCATGTGTGAGACAAGGAGGTGATAATCCCCCCATGCTTGGGTCTCAGGGGTCTTGGTGGGGGCACTGTGCTCTATTCAGAATGCTGCACTTGGAGACAGGGCCAAATTGGAGCAAGTGCAGAAGAGCAGAGCAGGATGATAAGAGATTGAAGGGAAAATGACCTCTGAAGAAGGCTTCGGGGTTATTTTTTCCAGGCAAGATATGCTGGGGGAGGAAGGGGTAGGGGGGGATGTGATAACAGCCCTCTGGCACGCAGGAGGTGCCTGACTGTCCCTGCAGCTTCCACGGGAGCAGGAATAGAGAGGCTTAATTTGCAGCAGGGAAGATTTAACTTAGATATTACGAAAAAACTCTTTAGCTCTAAGGACATTATACATCAGCACAGTCCTGGGAGGCAGCAAAATCTCCTTGGAGATTTTTTAGTGCAAATCAGACAAACATGGGCTGCACGGGCTGGTGTGGGCACACAAGATCTTTCTTGAGCGTTGGCAGATGGATTGGGTAGCCTCAGAAGGTCCCTCCCAGCCCTGTATTTCTGTTGTTTTCTGTGTGGTTATAAGTCATGGCAACACTTGCTGCAAAGCTGGGTGAGCCCTTAGCTCAAATCCTACCAGCTCCCATCCATCCTTGTAGGGTGGGTAAGGTAAGGGTTTGATGCACAGCCCTGGCAGCTGGACTGTTTCCAAGGCTCCTGGTGGCATGTCCTGCAAACCTGGTGCTCCAGGCTGGCTGTCAAGTGGGACTAAAAGTGCTCATTTCTTCTCAGGGGAGAAAGGGATGGTAATAGTTACCTGCCTCTCTGATGTGAAGTGGCTTTGACATTGGTACTTTGACACCTCTGTGGAGGTGGCTGTAAGAGCCCTGCTTGAGAGGCTTTCTGTGGGGCACGGGATGGGCCAGCACCTCACTGTGACAATGCAGGAGAGGGAATAAATCTTGCAGAAGAGGCTGGTGTTACTTTTACCCCTGTATCATGAAGAGAAGCTCTGGGCCTGTGTGCCCAGCCACATGCAATGGTGGCGAGGGTTGGTCTGAGCTGTGTGACGAGTCCCGCTGCCCTCCTGGCTCCACAGCTGGCCGAGCGGCTGAAGCTTTCCGACCCGCTGCTCCTGGAGATGCCAGATCAGGACCAGACTCTGGAGCCCGACTGGCTGGTACAGCTCCGAGCCTACTGCCAGGAGTGGGAGGTAAGGAGGAGTGGGGATCAGGGGGGGGCAGCCGGTGGTGTGGTTTGCAGCATCCTCCTCTGCCTTGAATCCGAGGGGATGAGTCTGGAGGTTCAAAGGCTGTTGTTCCCTGGATGCCGTTCCCCTTGGCTTGTGAGCTCGGAGATGTGGTCTCTGTTGTGGGACGTGCAGCTTCAGAAGGAGCAGGAGGGTTGCAGCACCCAAAGGTGTGAGCAGCAAGGGCTGCAGAGCTTTGCACAGGGCAGAACGCTCCTTGTCTTGGCTCAAGGAGGGCAGTCAGGCTGGTGGGTGAATGCTGATCTTCTGTTGAAGTGAGGATGTTCCAGAGGATGCTGGTGGGGCATCACCTTGCGGACATGTGCTCTTAGGTCTCTTAACTGTGGTCTGATCCCTGGATTAATACTTTTTTTCAGGTTTCATGTCTACTTTTGGTTTTGTGCCCTTTTCTGACTCTCGTTTCCCTTCCTGCCTGCTCTTAGCAGAGCAGTGGTGCTGCCTTCACTTGCTGGGAAGGAGCTGTGACTGTGCTGGTGTGGGTCTCACCCGTAACCTGGGCTCCTGCAGCCTTGGGTGGGTCATGAGCCCCAGGCTCAAAAGGACCACACTTGCCTTTACATGGGCTTTATGATTTCCATACTATTTGTCCTGTGACATCCCTTTTTCCATCTGTTTTATCACATCTTCCCTCTGACTTCTTGCAGGTGGAAGATGACCTCCCTCTGGGTGGGGCATCCACTCAGCCAGAGCTCTCCTGGGCTTCTGCATCCATGGCAGGTAAAGAAAATGAAGCTGCAGATGGCAATTGCTGCAGCAGACTTCACCTGTTGAGTTGTGCTGCCACGGGCTGGAAGGCACCTCCCTGCTCCCCAGAGCACTTCTCAGCAGCTGCTTCTTGTTCCTTAGATCCTCCTAGAACTCTATTTTGCTCCTGTCTGAATGCAGCCCTCTGGTATGAGGCTGTCAGGGGTGGGATGCAAACCAAGGGGAGTTGATGCTTGTGCTCTCTATATGAAGTCTGAGTAATTGGGCCTGATTGCCACAACTCCAGGAGTCCCTGTAGGTGCTGTGGGAGGAGAAGGGGTAGTGGGCGGCTGGAGGAAACACGTGCCTCCTGGCTGAGCCTTGGGGGAGGAACGTTCCCAGGCAGTCCTCTGAGGGTGGAAACTGGAGCTGAACTAAGGGGATTTCACACTTCCAGAGTGAAAGATTTGGGAAGCAGCTTGTCCCTCTGTGTGCCAGGCTGCAGCATGGCTGTTGGTAAAGGCCCAGCATTTCCCTGTCCCTGCTGCCTCTTTTATCCCTTGGCTTTGTCTCTTGGTGACCCCAAGAGTCACCTCCAGTGACAATTCACCCAGAGGGTCAAGAGACATCAAGATGAGGGATATGAGCCTCCCTGGGGTGGCTGTCAGGGGAAGGGATGGAGAGCTTTCCTGTCCTAGCTGGGCGGCACGACCATCAGGATGTCCTGTGGAGGAGAGGCTGGGTACTGGTGACCCCTTGGCATTGCTTCACAGTCACCTCCATCAGCACAGGCCACTGCTCCTCTCTGCTGCTCAGATCTGCCTTTGTGCTGGGAATGCCGGCACTGGTGGGTGGAGAGTAAAGGCTGGTGCAGACAGGATAAAACATGACAAATTCCTTCAAGCCATTTCTTCCTATCAGCTTTCCCTGCTGCTGCCAAATTCCTATTCAAAGAGTTCTCCCAGGCAGTAAAAAGGATCATCAGTCCTGATTGCCTTCTGCTGCAATCAGGGCTAAGGCTATGATCATCCTTCCCTGGAAAACAGTCACAGGTATGATAGGATGGCTTCTTTGAATGGCCAGGTCTCCTCCATGGGGTTTCACAGTTCACTTTTCCGGTACTTGGCCCATTTGTTCATGGAGAAGGCCATCCAAAGTCACCCTCTGAGGAATTTGCATGCAGAGGAAACTGGCTTGGTGCTGAATTCATCCATCTTGGAAAGATAAAGCCAGAATCAAGGTCCCAAGCTGGGATCCCCATGGTCACAGCAACTTCCCTTTCCATCCTTACAGCCTTGGGCTGTCCTCCCTGACTTTTCCCAGCTGAGCTTGCTGGGCAGCATGAAGTTGAGCATCCATCCACCTCCCTGTGGATCTCGAGCATCTCCAGGCTGTGCAGGAGCAGGTCAAAGGTGTGAAGCCAACTCTGAGTGGACTGAAGGTGATGCTGGCAGGCAAAGCAAAGGGTAGCACGGCATCCAAGAGGTGCCATAGTCTGTCCCCAGGCTCAGGCCCATGGGATCTGGGTCCTGCCTGGAGACAGGTGAGGAACTTCCCCATGCACAGCACATTTCTGGCCAGAGGCTGCAGAGCTGGCAGAAGCAGGAGGCACACCTTGGATGAAGAGCAGTGTGCTGCCCAAGCTATGTCAAACATCAGACAGAGCAATGTGTGCATGTGTTAAATAAAACAAAGCCCACTTGCTCAACCTGCCTTTCAAACAACAAAAACCAACCCTGAATAAATCTGCCTGAAGGAAGAAACTCATCCATGGATGCTCCTGTGGAGCAGGAGTGAAGGCTGCGCCTTCCTGGTAAACTTTCTTTGCTGCTTGGGGTGTGCAACAGGAGTGGAAGAAAAGGCTGCAGGGCCCAGGCTCCTTTGAGCTGCAGGGCACGTGCTGCTCATGCTCATTCTCTTTGCTTCTCTAGCATTCCTCTTCTGTGTTTGTTTGTAACCTCAAGCATGCTCCCAGGAGGTTTTTTCCCCCTGTCTTACATAGCCCACCTTCCTTGCAGCCTTTGAAAAGTCCCTGCTGCTGTGCTCAAACTCCTCCATTGCCTGTGTGTGATCCCCGGGCTCCTTCCTCACCCCTCTGGCTCCCACTGATGTATAATGGAAAAGGGGAACGCTCTGAGCAACAACCCGATGAAATTATAAATACCTGAGCAAACTCCTGAGGTGTGGTGTGGGTTTTTTTGTTGTTGCAGGTGGAGAGCCTGGTCATGAGCTTCTGCAGAGTGAAGGCTACCAGCATAACCAGTGTTGCCAACCCCTGCCACCCCAGGGACCCAGCTCCCATGAGGATGTGTCTCTCCAGCCTCTGGCATCCACCCAGGTCACAGCATCGCCACTGCTTGGGGTTGGGCAAGAACTGCAGCCCCCCGTGCTCAGTCTGGGGGCAGCCACCCCTCCGGGAGGGGGTTCTGCTGACCCTGCTCTGCAGGCGGTGCCGCCAGCAGGTAAGTCCTCCAGCCTTGTTTCCCTGTGGAAACCATAGAATCATTCTGGTTGGAAGAGACCTTTAAGATCAAGTCCAACTGTTAACCCAGCACTGCCAGGGCACCACTAAACCATGTCCCTCAGCACCACATCTACGTGTCCTTTAAATCCCTCCAGTGATGGGGACTCCACCACTGCCCTGGGCAAGTCTGGTCCTGGGCTTGACAAAATGCCTGTCCCCAGTTAGCAGCAGTGGGATGGGGTGTCCCTGAAGGAAGTGTGATCCCCTATGGCATGTGTGTCACTTCAGATCTCGCTCTCTGCCGGTGCTGCCTTCCCTTCTGCACCTTGTTTCCCTCCAGCCTTGCCCAGGTGCAGAGCTACGTTTGCCCTGAATGCAAGCCAAGTCTACCGCTGCTGGCTGCCCTGGGCAGCTGGGTCTTCCATTTTTTCAAGACCTTGCCCAAGGGCTGCTGCGGGTTGGTGTCAATGCTGCCTGTGCTGCAAGATGGGACAACCAGCTCTACATTCAGCAGTGCAAAGCAGGCTTTTGAGATGCATCAGTGCAGCCTTGTGACTTGCTGATGCTGACAGGGACCAGTATGACCTTTTTGCATCTCTTGCGGGGACATCTTGGCCACACAGCCTTGCTCTGGGGGGAGATAGGATGCTAGAAGCACTGAAAATACTTCTGATAGACATGGCAGGAACTCCTCAGGCCAAACCCTCACTGTCCTTCCCTCTACTCCACAGGAGAAGCTAGGGAGTCCCAGGGTGTCCTAACCTCTGCAGGGCTGCAGCCATCACTCCCAGCAGAGCAGGTGAGTCAGAAGGGTAAAGGAGACAACCCTATTAGGGGCCCTGGGGGATTTCGGACTCGCTGGGTCATCCATCCACACACTTAACTTACCTGGAAAACCTCCGTTGTGGTACCAGCTGTCTGCTTGGGAGGACCTGATGGCTTAGGACCCTCTCTGTTCTTCGACCTCTGGGACCATGGGCTGCCCACTACACCCTGCTGTGGGTGCTCTTCCTCCTCACCTGCTGTGTAAGGGATGTGGGGGTCCCTGGGGACACTATCCATTCAGCCTGGCGTGGAGGAGTCCCAGGGATGCTCTGATCATGCTCAGGGTGGCTTCTCTGGGAACACTATGTGGCAGCTCTGATCTCCAATGCCAGGAGGAGTTAAAGGGAAGGACTCGGACCATCTCAGAGACCTCCACAGTCTCCTTGGAAGACAACAGCCGGCCTTCCTCGGAGAGCGCAGCTGAAGACTCTGCCGAAGAGCCAGCATCAGCAGACCCAGTGAAGTTGGGTGAGGACAAGGTGAGCAAGGCAGAGCTGGTGTGAAGCCTCGTGCTCCAAGCTTGTCTGTATTGCATGCCTGCTTTGCTTGCCCTAACCTGGACAAAATGGTGCCTGCTTCCAGCTGGCTCAAGGGACATCTTGGTGGCTGTGGCATCCTCCCCTTCTTACTCATTTCCATTAATGGTGACAACCTGCCTTTCCCAGAGCCCTGGATTCAGATGGTTTGGCTGGCTCTGGTCGAAACCGGTCAAGGAAGCTTCGCCCAAAGCTACGTCTGAGATGGCCCCAGACTGCCCCCGGCTGGGACTGCAGGTAGGGGATGGAGGGCTGTTTTGTCCCCAGGTGACACCAGGGGTTACAACCATGGGGGACAGGTGACACTTCTCTCCCTTTGCCCAGAGGGAGAACTATCTCCCTCTGTCCTCATGCAGGTGGCTGAGCCACGCCATTGCACAGCTCTTCAGGGCAGTAGCCGCCCTGTGTAGGGACAGAGCAGGACCAGGAGCCCTTTTAGCCTGAAAATGAGTCCCTTGATTAATTGTAAATTGATAAACCCTCTTTGATCTGTGAAGGCCCCCAAGCAAACTCCGCGGGGAGCGCCTGCCCTGCGCCGGAGCGGAAAGCAGCAGCTGCACAGCACCACTCTGGCAGGCTTTAGGAGCCGGCGAGAAGGAAAACACCTTTAATTGGAAGCGCAGCAGAGAGGGGGGAAGCAGCCATGGGTGGTTACCCCAGTCCTGGCTGAGTCTTCAGGATGTCTGCAGGCCTACAGTGGGCTTTGAGGCAGATGTTGGAACTTCCCATGGAAGTCTTCTCCTTGCTGAGAATGACCTACAGTGCTGGAGCAGGAAATTTTGGGATAATCTTGCAAAACTAGCTGGAGATAAGGAACAGAGGGGTAACCATGAACCCTGGCAGCCCCTCATACTATACACAGGCTTGATGTCCAGCCTAATGATGTCCTTCTGCCTAACTTTGAACTTTTTGGCTGGTTTAGCTTTGTGACAGGTGTTGCTTTCCCTGATCTTGTAGCCCCTCCTTAGCTTGGTTGCCTGTAGCTCTTGGGATGCCTCTCCAGCAGGATGGGTGCAGAGTGGTATCCCAAAAGTGGGGTATGGTATCTGGTGTAAAGGTCTTTTCACCATGGAAGGAGCCTCTGCTCTAAATGGGTGGATGTTGTTTCAGGAACAGATGTCACCATCTCCACCTGATGCCCCTCTTGCAGCTGGGACAAGTTCTTCAGCTCAACCTCCTTCCAGAAACCCCGGTAAATGTTGTGTGAATCCCCTTGCCCCTCTCCCTAGCAGCCTTTAAGAAGCTGCTGCTCTTAATTTTAAGATGAGGTGTGTGGTGTGTGTGTGTGGTTTTTTTTTTTTGTTTGTTTTGTTTTGTTTTATGCCCCAGGAGGAGCAGAAGGTGAAAATACCTTTGCTGTTGCTCCAGCATCCATCGAGGTGAAAGGCTTATGGGACATGGATGGTGGGGAGTCAGCAGGAGAGCAGGTAAGAAGGGAGGTGTGATGAGAGTGTCAAGGACACCCCTCTGCTTGAGGTGTCTCTGAAACTGGGGTGGGGTGGCTGTTAAATTTCTCTCCCTTCACCCCTTCCAGACTGGCTGCCATGGATCTCGCCCACCAATGAGATCAATCCCCCTCTTCAACCCTGTCCAGGTCTCTCAGGTGCGAGCTGCTTCTTCCTGGGGTGTTGCTGGATAGGATGGGTGTGGCTCCTGTGTCTTGGGACACTGCTATGGGCAGGAGGACCCAGGAGCCACCAGGCCTGGGTATGAGGGTTTGGTATGTGTACGTTAATAAATTGGAAGAGGAGATAGTGATGGGGGGTAGTGATGGAGGAGGGAAAGGGGGGAGGATGCATCCTGGTGACAGGCCAGGGGTCTACATTTTGGGTGTAGAACCCTCTCTTTTACACCATCGTCTCTCTGCTTCCCAGCTTGCTGCCA